CAATCAAATTTGCATCGAATCCCGAGTGTACCGGGATGCGTATTCGTCGCGGGCAGCGGGAGAGGGCGTTAACGCTCCAGTGATGATGACGACTGTCATTGTCTCACTTTCGATTCGTAAAAAGCACAAATCCGCGAAAATTACTCGCGAAATGAATAGCGCTTCAACCACTCTTGTGAACATCGATCATTCGCGGCAATGAAAGAAAGAAAGAGAGAAAGGAGAAGAAAAAAAGAAGAAAAAGATTGCAACCGTCGAAGCGCTCGCGCGATGTAACGCGAAAATTGCATCGTCCTCGATCCACACATCCCTTCACCGCTCAAAGACATGAAATATTCCGTCGTGGTGACTCGTGGCGAGCTACGTATCGGTGGTTATGGATTTCAATTTACCGGTCCGGGTTAGATCGACACGCGTAGCTACCGTCGATGCTCACATCGATTCTGTCCACTCAGTCGGTTCCTACCGAAACCAGCAATAACCGGGCATGAAGCATAAATATAAAATTTCAGGGCATTCCATTTCGCGGTGGTCGAAAAGCTCCCGCCTCCTCGCCTTTTCCGTTTTCCGCCTTCTCCATTCCATCGCCATTCTCCGCCATGGAAAATCTTTCGTCGTCGCTGGATTGTCCGAGAGAGAAAGAGAAAGAGAGAGAGAGAGAGAGAGAGAGAGCTCACGTTCGCGTATCTCGATTTATCCTGCCGCTGCGGTCGGAAGAAGCTTTGTTAACGCGACGTAAACACTTTTTAATTGCTCTCTAAAGCTATAACGTCGACCCGCGCAAAGCCGCAAGATTCCTACTTTTTCGCACGTAACTCTTACCCTGCGCAAGGGACAGAGGAGGACGCCTCAAATAAAAGTTCCGAAGCTCGCGTCCAGACGGAGTAAGCGCTCGCAAAAACGCGTTTAAAGTCGACGGTTTGGCTTCTCGGCGGATATTTTATTGTCGCTCATCAGGTTCGACTTTTTCCTGCTCGGCTGCGTAACAAACATTTAATATCCTTCACAATATATTTCAGAAGTGACTCCTTTTCATCGTGGAGCAATTATTGCTATTATTTTTATTCTTGTCACGAGATATACCGCGACAAAATGTTATCGACGAAGAGGTTGGCCGGAAAAACCCGACAGAAGAGATTCACGTAACACGTTCGAGACTCCAGACGCGAGCTCGTGTTATCCCCTCATTTTTTCCAGCCACCGTTCGCCCTCCTAGCTATTTTCCTCCACCCTTTCTTCTCTTTCTGTTCCACCCTCTCTCTCTCTCTCTCTCTGAAAGATCCTCCATCATGCTAGGCGACTGGTGCGAACCGTGATTACGGGTTTCGAGTCTTGCCCGCGGATTTTACGAGCCCGGTCGCGCGAGTCACACCCCTCGCGGGCCCTGCGGGGCCCCGCGTCGCGTTCCCGACCTTCCCGAGTCCTTCTCTCTTCCCGCTCCCTTTTCTCGCTCCCCTGTTCCGACCAGCCACCCACTCGAGCCCGAAAGTCGGGAGGAACGGAGGCAACGCGCGGCATACGAACCGCGTGGAAATAAATAAATGCCCGGGGTGGTCGTCGACGGTGGAGCGCGGCGATAGAGGGGATGAATGCGAGAGAGGGTGGCTGACGAATTTCAGGGCCGTAGCTGCGAACCCCGCGACGTATCGATCCCTCCCTCGCCCAACGCACCTGCACCGATCGCACCCGAGTGCCCGATGATTTGTATCTTTTCCCTCACCCTTTTTTTTGGGAATGCGCGTTCGATCGGACCCTCCTTTAATGTTGCCATAACTTTCCGTCTGTCGGAAGTGAGACTCGCGATATAGTGGCGAACGATCGCGCATGACATGGCGTTGATTCTACATTGACTCTACGCGACGGAATTCACGGGACATTCAGCGAGAAACGCTATCGCGGCGCCTTTTGCTTTGCTTTGCAAGAGCGGTCTGGAAGCGCGCCGCGTTCGGCCAGATTGTTCGTGAGAGCTCAACGTGTCAGCGAGTACTCGCGCGCGAAAACTGCGAGAAGAGTCTCGCCAGAAAAAAGGCAGTCTCGGCGCTCAGACGGGAATTCATTCGCGCCTTTTGTTATTGCAAACATCTAGTCAAAATTTGCGTTAGCCGCGGAACTTCATTCTCGAAGAGGCCGCTATTTACCCCACGGTCGGTAACTCAACATTTAATCGTCTCTCCCCTCTTTCCTCTTTCTCTATGAAGGACTAAAAAAACTCCCTCCAATTAGACGAATCAACATCGTGAGTCAACTTCGAGAAACGATAACAGTCTTGCCCCATTACAGGCTTTCGCTAAAATTCCCTTTGTTATTACCCCGGCAAATCCCTACGAAAATATTTCTCCGTGTTAAATTACTTTCACGCGGCGCGTCAAGTCCCGGCGCTTATCCTCCTCTTAATTACGTCTCGCTAACCGCCTAATTAAGTGCGCTAAATTGATGTCGCGATTATTCGCGCAGCTCCTTGAGAAACGCGACATTTAATTCGCTCCGTACTCTTATTTGATCCGCGGACCGGGCCTGAAAATGTATCACGCGGCCTCGTGTATAAGCGTTATACATTAACAGCGGATACACAGATGAATTATCGACGAAATTCACGCCGCTAATTAATGCGAGACGTAAATCAGAATTACGGGACTATTAGTTTAAGCGGTTTCCGGTTACTACCGCGCGCCTGTGTGTAAAGGAAATTCCAGCAGTTCTCTCCATCTGATAGGATATTAACGAAGAATACTTCTGCGACCGAATCCCGACGGCGACGGCGGCAGCGGTGGCGCCGTAATAAAGCGTGAAATTAATCTCTAACGTGAATTGCATCAAGCACGCGCAGCAGAATCACTCGAATCGGAGGGCGAGACGAAGATGTTACGCGATGTCGGCCAAGAAACGGCGCCGATTGAGTGACGGCGATCCGGCGGCCGCACGTGAAAATTTAATCGCGGAATTTCAGCGCAAATCATTCCGACCTGGATTCCCGCTATACGCGAGAACGTCCGTAAAATATATAAAATCGCTATAAATACTAATTATTCAATCAGTTTGCTCATTTAAGTTTACACAATCGCCGTAATAGAATATAATTTATTAAGCGCGCGATATTTAACACGTTCGCCCGCTGATGCATAAACGGCGGCTAATGATAGAAAATTCACCGCCAACCCCATCACGTCTGGAATAAAAAGTAACGCGTTCCATCCATGCGCAGAGCAAACGATACAAAATTCTCGTTATACGCGCAGTGTAAAAAGGAAAGAAAGGTAGGAATGCGTCCGTCATTCCTACCACGTAATTTTCAACATCATGTTTGGATCAAACGTCGTATCGTATCGTATACCCGTCTGCTCTTGCACGCTCGTTTCTCGAAAATGGATTCCTATCCTGCAACCCCCGCTCGCCCTTTGCCGAGCTCAAAAATACACCCCGCCATTCCCCTTTGCTCCTCTCGTTTTCAGTCGGTGGACCCACGCGCGGGGAAACGAACGAGGCACGAGGGACTCCTCCGGATTTCGATTATCGTCGATAACTCGGCTGGATGTATCCCTTCCATACTAGCAGTAGTTTCCGGAAATTCGCCTCACCCTCGGGATTATCCCGCCCTGGGAATTCCTATCTCGCCACCGACATTGCGCTCCCTCCGATTCCTCTCTCTCTCTCCCCCTCTCTCTCTCTCTCTCCCTCTCTCTCTCTCTCTCTCTCTCCTTCTCTCTCTGTCTCTCGTTCTCTTTTTATCTTTGTCTCGTGCATACTGCTACGCCGAATATGTCCCTTCTCTCTTATTCTTACCTTTTCACTCTTGCCTTCGGATCCTCGTTCGATTTGTCCCGAATTACTTCATTGGGTACATATTATACATCTCCCCGTTCTTCCTTCGCGTCGTAAAACGTGCGAACTGACGAGTCTCGTCAGACATATGTTCACTCGTACGCGTTATACGGAACCAAAAGAGTTATTACTTGATACGCGTCTAAAGTATTTAGAATTGAATTCAGATTTAGATGAAAGTTTTTCAATAAAAATTACGTGCGATTACAGATCTAAATGTCACATATATTAGATCCAACTCTAAATAAAAATATGAAGCCCGTGTTAGTACACACTGCAAATCCGCGTGTGTTATTTTTAAACGCATAAGTGTGTAATTGGCTGAATTTATTTTTACATGTTTGTTACCGTCTCAAATCACGTCATTTAACACATGCAAACGTATAAAATTCTAATTTCTAACGTGAGCGAAAATTCTAATTTATACATTCTAAACGTATTAAATAACGTGAAATATAATAAAACCGCAAGAGACATATGAGAAGAGTTTCAGCCAATTACTCGTTTATGCGTTTAAGAATAACACATTCGGATTTGCAATGTAGTTGTCATTTGAAACCTTTCTCATGTGAGATAGTCAAATTTTTATTCAGAATTGAGTGTAAGTTTTTTAGGTGACAACTATTAATACGCGAAAATTTGAAAAATAGACGGTATCATTATTACGTGTATCCGCCGACTTGGTTCGCAGAAAGTACAGGTGAACAAAATCTTTGATAAAAGAGTGCAGCTGTGTTATTCATCATTTTTTCTTGCGAAGAGAATAACCACAAACACTGAGATGATAACTAGATATTTCTTTCTCTTTTGCATTGCATTAAAACTTAAATTATATACAGAAATCGCAAGAATTTATCTTTTATATTATTACCTTCTCTGCTACCGTATATTTAGAGTTACTTTGTAAACCTCGCGAAAAATTTCGAAAGCGTATCTCTCTGGACAAACTTGTGGAGTCAACCCAAATCGAGATTTTAGTTTTGCATTAATCCGCAAATTCCGTCGAACTTGAAGGACCAAGGGAGATATAATGACATACGGACTATTGTCGTGCTTACATGCTGTACACGATTACTTACTGGCGTGGGTTTCGACATGAAGGAGAACGCGGAACGTTAAAAACTCGTGTTGTATTTGACGTGCAACGTGTTCTTACGTGGATCTATTTCTTGTCGTTTCAGAATGCTTGTTCCCACTGAGTTGGCAAGGCGCGTGGTTCCAAAGTGGCGTGAGGCAGCCGGTAACGATATCCAAGGACGAGTTATCCAACAAGGGCAAGTGCTTGTACAACGAAGCCGACAAGTTCGTTTTAGTAGATCAGTAAGTAATTGGATAGTCACGCTTTTTGCCGTTTCGCGAATTATTTTAACATGCGGCGCGCTTACAATAAAATATCACAAATATATTATGTATATTTCCAGTATAATCGATATTCTCTCTCATTTTTCAGTCCATTAAATTTTTCATTGTGATTTAATAATTTTCCATTTATCGAATCTCGAGTAACGTGAGCGAATATAGCGAACCAAAATTAAACCCTCAAGAAACGATTGAGGTATTCGTGAATTCCCGAAGTTCTCACCGCAAAAGAAACGCTCGATTCTACGCTTTTCGTCTCGCGATAGAAATACGCCGGTGTTTGCGCGCCCCTTTTTTGTTACTTTCCGAACGACTCTCTCGCGTCGTAATAAATAATCAGGCAATAGAGAACTAATACGTTTCCGATCGAATATTGGATTCCTCAGATATCGCAACGCAGCTTAAAAACAAGACAAAACAAACAAAGGCGTTATATCCGTGGTAGTATTTATTGGTGCCGCATTTATTTTAACCTCTTTGTACGCCGCAAACAATTGCGGCGAGACAATTTTACTCTGAAAATTCCTATAGTGCTGCATGGAGGATTCAGATAACATGTACCGTCCATGTATCCAACCGATCAAAGCCTTAGTTACTAAAGCTAATATGGCGAAATCGGTCGACCGAATAACCCGTATCCTCTTTCTATCTCGGCCAGCGGTTCATTCAATTTCGCAGAATTGCTGATATTGTTAAAAAACAAGGGGGAAAAGGGAACGTATGGCGGTGCAGTTCGCAAAACCTTCGCGGTATTTCTCGCAAGGGATTTGCCTGCGCCGACGATGCGAGAATATAAATCCGTCGAAGTGCGCGGTATCGCGATTTTTCAATTGTCAACATCTAATTTACGAGTGCGCTCTCTCGTGAGCGCGATCCGTACTTCGCGCGCTACGCTCCCCTGCGCTTGTCTCTGGCTCTGAAAGAAATAAATTCTCAAAGCGATTATCTTTTGCACCACGAGTCCCGACTATTCGTGATAAATTAGTTTCTCTCTGCGAAACGATTGCACGAAATATCCCCGACAACGGTGCGATCTTTCGCGATGGAGTCGCCGCGAGAACGCGAGCTTTTCTGCCGCGAGAACGCGAGCTTTTCCGCCGCGGGAATGCGCGAGCGCACAGATCACGCAAGGTCACGTAAGGAATCTGTCTATTGGCAGCGAGATGAGAGATTGTCGACGCGAGAGCTTCTGTTTTGCCGCGTAACGCTCGTGTCACACGCCGGGCGTCCAAGTTTTCGCGAAGATCTCTATCGGACTGTGCCTGCGCAAAGTGTCGGATCGATATAGAAGTCGGGTCAGATAAAGAAGTCGAGGAAAAAACCAGTCGCGAGGCACGACAGCGAAAATTTAAACGTCACCGCACGCCTTTTCTCCGCCTCGAGACGGCGAAGCGGTATGAGGAATCGTGCGGCGAGAGGCGAGTTGATACGGACTGTTTAATCGCTCGCGGAGGAATAGCAGTTCTTTCGTTTGAGACCTTGCTTCCTCCCGCCGCGATTGTGCCGAATAATACATGCGTAAGAACCGAGAAATTACACAGAAAAAGTCTTGTAATAATTGATTAACCCAATGATTGATTAACGAAGTTAAGATTTGGTCGAACGTTTTAATATAATATGTGGTAATTAGTATGTGCATAATTAGTAATTGCACATGTAATTGTGCGATAAAGTGAAATGTAGTAATTAATATTTATCAAATATAGTTACCAACCATCTGACAATAATTACAAAATAATTGGTAAAATGAATTCTTGTAAAACAACCGGTTAAATGATATTTTCACCAAAGTATCTTGTAACTATCATCATCCAGACTTTTGATAGTTTTTATCGCTCTTTTCAGTGTACGTATCTTTTTCACGGACAACTTAAATGAAATCGTACTGACTAATAATTTCTCTACGTCATTCGGCACATTTTTGTGCGTATGTCGTTCAAATTACTCGATCTTCTGAATTATGCAACTTCGACGTCGACATCGCGCGAATCACGACAGAGAGAACTCCTCGCCTCTCCGTACTGCAAATGCCTACATCTTTCTGTTTCAGGAGGTCATGCTACCGCTGCATCGTCATTCACGAGAAGCACGCCAACGTTCTCCAGTACAAAGAGAGTAAGTACGAAAAATAAGTACGCGGACGCGAGGCGTGCGTCGTCGTCGTCGTTGTTATTTCGCCAGATCGATAGCGATTTGCCGCTAGCCCTCGGAGACCTATTCGTTCATTAGAATGCCGATCGTTAATTAAAAGCTCGACGATGACGGCAGGAAGAATGGGACGAGGGATGGAAGAAGGAGGGGGAGGAGGAGGAAGGAGCGGTAGTGATAGAGCAGAGAGAGAAGAGAGAATGCGCCGAGTGAGTTTGTAGCGCGGCTGAAATTATTCTTGGACGGCGAACTTAACGATTTTCTCTCCGTCGAGCACGTCTCGCGGTAGACAACGCGACGTGTCGGTGAAGCGGTGCTACGAAAACGGTTTCGCTAATTCCGCCCCGCGGACTGCCAATCTCGTTTACGGTGTAAAGGAGATCGAGAATACCTCGCAGCGTTCTGCGGATACTCGTTTCCTATCTACCTCGTTAATGCGTTCATCCGAGCGGAGAGAGCGAACTCGTCGAAACAGGATAATAATTCCTGACAAAATGCTACCGTATTTCGCACTCTGCATATCCGCGGATTACGTTCGCCGTGCGCTCGCTTCCGGTTAACAACTCCCGATGCCAACGTGAATCCCAACGTGGATTCCTCGCGTTCGGCGAAGTAGTCGTGTAATTGTTTAATTGCATCCGGCGCGCGACCGTTATCACGACAATACGGTCTCTTTTGATTTTTGCCAAGTTTCGCCGAACTTTCCATCGCGCCCGGGGAAACGAGTGGGTGACGTCACATGTACACACACGTACATGTTTGCACGCGCGCAAGCACCGGCGATCACCCACGGCGAAAAAGCTCGCGCTCATTACGGGGGAGTTGGCACGCGGTGACGCGACGTGTCGCAACTTATAATTATCCCTGTCACACAGAGATTGCGGAAATAGTTGAATAACTCTGAGGCGGCTACCTGGAGCCGGCAATGTGCAGTTTTATCGAGTATCGAGCGTGCGCGACGATACAAGAGCACCGAGAAGAAGTAGCAGCCCGCGGAGTTTCGCCCACCGGATGGGCGATGGGGGATGGAAAAGAGTGGGCAAGGGAGGGGGGAGACCGGGGCAGAGAGAACGGGGACCGCTACGTCCGCCGACTCGCAGCTCGACGGAGGAGAGAAAAAAGCCGTAGGTCAACATGTACGAACGGAAAAAGCGCGCGACAGCGTCCGCGCGGGAGTGCGCTGGATCCGCCTCCTACGTCTCTCGCGTCGGCATTTTTCGACGATTTGTCAAAGTCCCCCGTTTTTCTTCTCTCCTCTTCGTTTTATCGGGCTTTAATCTGCATAGTGTCACGCCGCGGGCACCGTCGCTCGCAGGCTGCCTTCGCTGAGCACAGTTTGTCGCCGGGAAAAATGAGGGAGCGAGGCGAGCGAGCACGCGTGCTCTCTTCCTCTCCTCTTCACTCCTTCCCTCTATCTCTCTCTCCCTCTCTGTCTCTCTCCACCTTCCCTCCTCCCGTTATCCTTCAGGCGCGAATCCAGGTAACTCCTGGTTGTGAGCGTTCAAAGCTACGTTCAACGTTCGACGAAACGTAGGGGCGAATACAATATTTCCAAAGACGACGTATACTTTATTAAGAGAACGCGATTGGAAAGACAAATAACGTCGGCACGCCGAAAAGTCGGGAGCTTCTGGCGCGTGTCTGCCTCGCGCGCCGACAGCGATCAGATTGTTGGCATTAAATAAATATTGAATAAATATTGAATAAATTTGCTGGTAAATAAAGTCGAACAAACATCGCGCGTGCTGCACGATCAGTTTACAATATCACGTTAAATATCCCATGTTTTTTCCCTCAACGTTAGTCCCTGCTCGGATAAACTTTCATGATTGTCACGGCGCGAGGCAATCTCTGCGATTTTTTAAATTATATTTTTGAGGTAAATATGTGTGTTGCATTGAATCAATTTTTAAATTTACGTCATATAGTAATGCAAACTTTTTGTCATACGGATGCAGCAACCAATTTATACGGTAAAAGTTATACTTCAACCTTCATAATAACAGATTTTAGTTCCTAAAATATATAGGATATCCTAGACTCTTCTCCGTAATTTGTGTGCGAACGTAGAACAGATTGAGGTGAACATAAATGTCCCACATCGTTTTGCGATAAATCTCGCAATAAATTTCGAGATATTAATTAAAGAAGATTACGCGCTGTAGTGGTGATGCGTGCTTGTACATTAGGTAAAATTGAACAAAAAAGCCTTTTATCATTTTTCAAATAACCACGTAGACTTTTAGTTATCTATTCTACGTTCCCACAAAAATTGTGAGGAAGAGTCTGGGATATTATATATATTTTAGGAACTGAAATGTGGTATTAAAAAAATATGCTACATTTCTAACGAAACGTATGTACCTCAGCGAGAAAGACAGCCTATTCCTGGACTACGAGAAACATAATAAAATTGAAGAGAATTTATTCGAAAAAAAATTACTCTCCGCGCAAAGTCGCTGCCAAATTTACATACACTTGTCCACCTGGGCTGTGTTAACGGAAAAATTGGACGCGAGATACTTCCGCGCCGAAAGCCAAGTTAACACGCGGTTTATATGAACTTTTTTCATCACCACCTACGAGCCCGAACAACGCGCGCGCGTTTCTGGGAAGGGGAGAGACGATTTATATGCGCTGGAAATATTTGAATTAGAGGAGGGAAGAGCTTTAAGCGCTCGGCGAGCGTGCTCGGACGTCGCCAATAAAGAGAGGTAGACCGAAGACAAAAGTCTTTTGCTCGATTTTTCGCCGGGCGCGGGTAACACCTGCGTGCAGAAAAGTTAAGTCTCTTTGCGAGACGAAGTCTTTCGCGGGAGTCCCGGCGCTTTTCCCGCGGCGCGCCGGGAAAGAAATCGAGGGAAATATCCTAAGGTTAAACTTCCACCGCGGCTATGAACTTGCTACTCAGAAAGATTCGTCATCGTCCAACTCGACCCTCTTCCTCTTCTCCTTCTCCCTCTCTCTATCTCTCCCTCTCTCTCTCTCTCTCTCTCTCTCTCTCTCTCTTGCTCTCTTCTCTCTCTCTTGCTCTCTTCTCTCTCTCTTTCCCTTTTTTACCCCCTTTATTCCGTCGAGGCGCACGACGACTCGACTCGAGGCCCTTACCGCCGACAATATATAAGAACTTTTCGTTAGCCGGCAAAATTTTTATTAACATCGCGATCCCCCGGAGGAAGTCTCGTAAAAGGAAATGTAAGTGCGATTATCGTCGGTTCGCTCGAGAAATGACGCGCACCGTGGGCAGAAGATTCGCTACCGACGCGGAACTTCTCCGAAGTACGAGGTAATGGGACCGGCTTGCGCGAAGGCATCTATTCGCTTTATGTCACTGCGCGAATGACGCGTTATCGCCGATGGATTCGTGTCACGAAACGAAATCCGATAACGGCGATATCGCCGTCGGAAAAATTGGACGTTTTACGACGTAAAACGCGGGATTTCTAATCGCGCGTTTACCTCTTTCTCCCTTTTTCCTCCGAGCGATAATAACTATATTTTATTTATTTTATGGTCTACTAAATAAATATACTTCCATAGAGAGATTCTTGTCGAATCATGCGACATCAATGCACTGAAAAAGAGCATTTGTGACTATAATCACATAGAGAAATAATTGTACGACCAAATGTTGCTACTAGCATTTTACTAAAAAATATGATCGAGACGAAAAGTAACTATAATTGTATAACAAGTAACTATAATTGTAGTTAGATTGACTATTTTTTTCTCTCATTGTGAAAAGGTAGAATTTAGCGTGACAAGAGCGACAGTCGCTTCGATGCGTAGCTCGCGAACGACAAGAAATCGCGTCGCGAATTCATCAAGCGGCGTTAAAGGGATGCCGGAGCGAGTGACGAACTTGATAAACGTCGATAACGTAGAACGATCATCAAAAGGTAGAAAACGTTATCATCATTTATCAACAATATCGAATTTATATACACATAGATACTCATGGAATAAAGACGATCGACAAATAGGCGTTAACATGATACCGCTATCATTTTTTCACAGATGTATGCAAGGGTGTATGTGCTATGTTGTCAATTTAATTTTCTTACACATAGACGTTACGTAAGTGTGAATGCCACGTTGCCGATAATCGCATTCTCTCCAAAATAGGCTCTTGTTACTTTTCTGATGAATTCTTCAAACCGCTTGTGTACTGGGTGCATCAAAGAAAGAGTTTTAGAGAAGAGTATTGTAGGCGCAAGCGTAGTTTGCGAATAATTTCTTAAAAAATACGTTACCTATTATTTGAGTTTTCAATATAATTAGCAACGGTAATTTGAAATATTATTTTCATTTCGCACTGAACAATGTTACACTTTATTTTCGCACGTAATTTTATTATGTAAATTGGAGCAGTCAATACGCTGTAATTTAAAAAAAATGAAATCAGTGTCATGATATTAATAGTTCCACATCGTTTTCATCCTTGAAGCAGGAATCCCCTATTTCATTTATGTATATACTTTTACTATACAAAAGCATTTTTAATTTGGTCAAGTCAATACAAAGTAAAATTTGTTGGGAAATGTCGTTGACGTGATACTGTCGTTGACCGAATATCTTTGCAAAACTATTGTCTTGTGCTGATTCGACAAAATTAAAAAGCCTTTCTGCAAAGTTTACTTCTTTCTATCTGCGTTGAATTAAAAATTCTTTTGCACGGTGAAATTATATGCGAAAATGAAGCGGAGTATCCCACAATATGAGACGAAGACGATAAAGAACAGTTACTATCACGACATCGAATCTTTCTGCAAAAACTTCTTTCTACCTGCGTGCGTCGAATTAAAAACTCTTTTGCATGATGAAAGTACATACGAAAATGAAGCGGAGCATCTCTCAATATGAGACAAAAACGATAAGAAACAGTTACTATCATAACATCGAATCTTTCTGCAAAGACTACTTCTTTCTACCTCCGTCGAATAAAAAACCCTTTTGCATGGTGAAAG